TAGCCTTAAAGAGACTAGTTTTCATCCCAATCAATATTTATCTTGTAAGAAAAAATTCCACCCCATTCAAAATTTCTTTAAAGTCTTAGAACACAGCTGCTAATTTACCTTTAATACACTGATCCCAAACTCATGATTGCCTAGGCAAATTAATCTGCATTATTTGTTGTCTGAGATTGGCCTATTAACCAGAGAAACTATCTATTGTGTTAACCTGCAGGTTGATTACCAGGAGTCACAACTTTTCTGGCAAGGGTAGAGAGTCTGTGATTTAAAGATCCAATCTTTTATATTATTCCTGGTTGCTGGACATGCAGTTATTTTGGGAACCAGTAAACTGGTCTTAGCCCATTCATCTGAAAACTAAAGGAGAAGCTTTTTTATGAGGATTTACGTCAGCAAATAAAGAATTAACATTCACAGAGTCTTTTGAGTTGCGAGCAAAGGTTCTAGAGGAAAGAGAATGATTGGTTTTCGTCCTCCTATCAAGAACTATGATGCTAATCTCTTCAAGGCTTTAATAAGTGGCAATTTCAGAGAAGCCCCAGTGTATTTAAACAGCAGAGACCAGTGGAAAGGAGGAACCCAGAGTTCAAACCTGATATTGAATCTCTTTGCGATTCAAAGCAAGTAATTTGCTTTCCTATTTATAAAGGGAAATGATAATAGCTGGCTCTGCATCACAGAATATTGAAAAGAAACATGTAAAATAATTTGGGCTCCTGAAAGAAAAGTAATATTGAAATGTAAGGAGTTCATCTAAGTTGCCCTACAAAAAGCAACAGTGTGAGTTGAATGCTTACTTCAGCAGGCCTGATTATAAAACTTAATCATTAGCTATTTTGATAGGCTACCCTGTTTCTCTGGGTCCTGTCCAAAGATTCTTACATATTTAAAAAACCTGTGCGGTAATTTCGGCTTAAAGATACAAGTATCTCCCAGTGACTATTGCTGAATATCTTCCGGTTGCGAGGACACTGTAGGTGGTGACATGCTAGTGGGGCCCACTGAAGAAATTTTGTTGGATTCCTAAAATCGCACGTTTTCCTCATCTGCCATTTTATTATCAAGTAACAGGAATTAATAGTTCCAGCAACCATCTGTATATGCCATTCGTATTTTCCCATTCTAGATCATCCCTGGCTTTCATATATTTAGTTTTCATACAATCTAAAATCCTGAACATGGATACCCCTACACTGCTTTTCTTAAAGGTAATAAATTTGGTTTCTTACATTATCAACTAACCAATAATTTTCTGCTTTGCCATCACTGTAGAAAGGCTACAGTTTTATTGGGGGTCGGGGTGGGTACAGTTTAAGCACTCCTCTGCACACCTCACTCCAGTGGTGAGGGCTCTCTGGTCCCCAGAGCCCTCAGAATGAGAGCCAGGAGGTTCCCTGGACCTGCTCTGCTAGCCTCCTTTCCCACACCGGCAGGCTCCTGCAGCCCTGCCTCCCTGATAGCCTGGAGTAGGGTGGAGGAGAGGGACACACGGAATAGTGAGAGCAGAGCTGGGGACTGTGGGCAGCCTGGGCAGGAGCTCAAGGTTGGCATTGAGAGTTGAGTCCTAAGGCCACCTACAACCTTTGCTCAGGGGCCTTGGAAAACATTCCTTTCCTCCATTCACTGTCCTGGTTTCAGACATTATCTGTCACTGAGGTTAAAATGAAGGGGCTACCTGACCTTTTACCATCCCTTGTGGAGAAGTCAGCCTGGCTTACCTCCACTTCCCTGGTCTTTAGAATGACATTTACAAGCCCGCAGCTGCCAGCCCCAGGACCTCTTGGGGCCTGAAACTTGTTTACCCGCCAGGTTGTTTAGCTCTAGGACGTAAGACACATATACACACACATTTTGTGGTGGAGTCATTCTTTGTAGGCCCTGACAACAGTAATCTCCATTCCTCCTCTCCCAAAGAACAACTTGGGAGTCTACTGTGAGTCTTTGAAACTTTGACTTTATAACAATTTATTCGGAAAGTATGGTGCTGTGTTCCAATTGTATTGGAAAGAGACTGCCTGGGTCATTTTATTATCAATATTTTTCCCCAGTCTCTGAAGCCTGGAAAAGTTGGGTATTTTTCCTCTGATTTCTGAAAGAATGCTGTATGACAGAATCATTTTGGCTAAAATTAGGAGAAATTTCCTAGGTTTTAGACATCTTTGATTATTTTGACCGGCTTTGTTCTTTTTGTTTTTCCCTTTGCCAAAGCAGTGGAGGATTATAAAAGAAGAACAAATGAAAAGCTGGGAGGAGGATCAAGGGGTAGAAGAGGGTCACGACACTGTCTTCTACCCTCTGAGGTCTTCTACCACCAGCCCTCAGAGCAGTGTTTGAAGAGACACTGCAGTGCAGTCAGTGCCAGCACATCCTGTCCCCGCAGCCCTTAAAACATCTATTGAGAGTCCCTGTGGCCCCCGCCGGAGCTGAGCCCGGAGGCTGTGTCCTACTCAGTGTTTGCAAGAGAGTGGGCTGGCTGGCTGTTAGACTTCCAAACTAAGAACAAGCCAACCTGGCTGATTCCAAAAATGCAGTCATTTGTAGGACAGAGGTTGATTTCCTCTCTTGCTTCTCTTGTTCAAATACCTCCACCCCAGGTTTGGTCTTTGTCAAGCAGGTCCGAGTTTTCTTTGAACTGACTGAGCCACCTTGTTATATAAGCTATCTTATCTAGTAGTGTTGAGTCACCCTTTTGTTTATCGCCTATCTTTACAGCCTTCTCCGGGACATCTGGGCTCCTGCCCTGGGAATCCAGTTCTCTGACCTAAGAAGCTGAACTTTTTAGTGTAGACCCACTTAAGTGATTGCCAGATTTCTCAATGTAACAAATATTTGCGCATTTTTTGTGAAAATGTCCTCTCCCCTTTCTTTTTCCCTAAAAATATTATTTTATATTTAATGTTTTAAATAAATTTTATTGATTATGCTATTAAAGTTGTCACATTTTTTTCTCTTTATTCCCCTGCCTCGCACCCCCCTCCCACCAGCATTGTCCCACCTTAGTTCATGTCCATGGGTTGTACATATAAGTTCTTTGGCTTCTCCATTTCCTATACTATTCTTAACTTCCTCCTGTCTATCTACCATTTATGCTTCTTATTCCCTGTACCTTTTCCCCCATTCTCCCCACTGATAACCCTCCACGTGATCTCTATTTCTGTGGTTCTGTTCCTGTTCTAGTTGCTTGCTTAGTTTTTGTTTTTGGTTTTTTTACATTCAATTGTTGATAGTTGTGAGTTTGTTGTCATTTTACTGTTTATATTTTTGATCATCTTCTTTTTCTTAGATAAGTCCCTTAACATTTCATATAATAAGGGCTTGGTGATGATGAACTCCTTTAACTTGACCTTATCTGGGAAGTTCTCTATCTGCCCTTCCATTCTAAATGATAGCTTTGCTGGATAGAGTAATTTTGGATGTGGGTCCTTGTCTTTCATGACTTTGAATACTTCTTTCCAGCCTCTTCTTGCCTGCAAGGTTTCTTTTGAGAAATCAGCTGATAGTCTTATGGGAATTCCTTTGTAGGTAACTGTCTCATTTTCATTGGTGCTTTTAAGATTTTCTCCTTATCTTTAATCTTGGGTAACGTAATGATGATGTGCTTTGGTATGTGCTTCCTTGGGTCCAACTTCTTTGGGACTCTCTGAGCTTTAGGGACTTCCTGGAAGTCTATTTCCTTTGCCAGATTAGGGAAGTTCTCTTTCATTATGTTTCAAATAAGTTTTCAATTTCTTATTCTTCCTCTTCTCTTCTTGGCACTCCTATGATTCAGATGTTGGAATATTTAAAGTTGTCCTGGGGGTTTCTAAGCCTCTCCTCATTTTGGAATTGTCATTTCTTCATTCTTTTCTGGTTGAATGTTTATTTCTTCCTTCTGTTCCAAACCATTGATCTGAGTCCTGGTTTTCTTCCCTTCACTATTGGTTCCCTTTATTTTACTTTTCATAGCCTTCATTTTTTCCTCCATTTTGCAATCGTACTCAACCATTTCTGTGAGCATCCTGATTACAGGTATTTTGAACTCTGCATCTAATAGGTTGGCTATCTCTTCATCACTTAGTTCTATTTTTGGAGCTTTGATCTCTTCTTTCATTTGGGCCATATTTTTTGTCTCCAAGCACCTGTTATGTTGTAAGGGGCGGAGCCTTAGGTATGGGCCAGGGCAGGGTGACCCAGGTTGCTGCCCTGTGACACTGTTGGGGAGAGTTCCAAGAGGGAACAATGCCACTTGCTTGGTTCTTGGCAGCTTTCAGTCACTTCTCCCTCTACCCACAAGCAAAGTGGGCCCTTCTGCTGCTGAGTTTTGGGTGGGTCTGTTTGTGTACTTCCTAGGACCCTGTGAGTCTCTCCAATGAACTCTCCTGTGAGGCTGGGAGCTTCTCCTGCTGCTGCAGTGCCCACAGGTTGTTACAGCTGGAAGTTTTGAGACTTTATTTTCCCACGCTGGAAACTAGGGTTGCGTGGTCTGCCTTGCTCCCCAGTTGCTCCTACTGATTTATCCATGTGCAAATGTGGGACCGCCCAGTCCACCAGCCACCATCTTGCCACGTGTCCTCTCCACCCCGGCTGCTGTATCTGCCCTTCCTACCAGTCTGAATGAATGTTTCTTGTTTAACTCCTTGATTGTTGGACTTCCATACAGTTTGGTTTTCTGGCAGTTCTGATAATGTTTTGTTTTTAAATTTGTTGTTTTCCTTTTTCTGGTAGTGCGAGGAGGCAAAGTGTATCTACCTATGTCTCCATCTTAGCTGGAAGTCTTATGTATGTTTAATTTTTAATTCAACTTTTATTTTGAAAAGCTTGTAGAGAATGTTGTGATAACCCTTGACCATTTGCCATACCCAAGGGTGATGTTAAACCAGCATCTATAAAAACTAATATAAATCTAATACTTGTTATTGGCTGGAATCCTTAAATTTAAAATGTACTATTGTTATGCAATGTTTAACTACTGACTAGCTCACTTACATTATTTTAATATATATGCTTGATTGCAGGAAGCCTTCACCGAACCAGCAGTGTTCCTGAGTATGTCTACAACCTACACCTGGTTGAAAATGACTTTGCTGTTGGGTGTTCCCCTGTTACCAAAACCTATGACATGCTAAAGGTAGGGTACCAAAGAGTGTAACACTAGTTATCAGATAACCATGAAAACGTTTTTCAACTCCCATAGATTATGTTTTTAATGTTGCCTTTCCCAAATATTACTCTTTCCTAAATGAATTATAAAAAGATTGATTTTTGTGTGGACACCATAGAAAACTGGGGACTTCAAACAGCTTCAAATCCTAATACAAATAACTCATCAACCAAGTTAACGAAGTCTTCTTTAAAAATAGATTTTACCCAGAAAGGGCTCAACTTCTCCATGTGACACAGAGAAATGGTCACCTTGTATAAGAGTCCTGGAATAGTTAGTCCTCAACAAAGATAAAAACTGATTTATGCCTCATTTAAACTTTATTTCTCTCTCGCACAGTCAGGCGTAACCTCGGCTTATGAAGGTCACTGGGGGAGAGGAACTACGCAGTACAATTCACAGAGGTCGGTGGAAGAAAGATTCTTGAGGCAGCCTCTGAGGAGACTGGAGATTTCTCCAGACAGCAGCCCTGAGAGGGCTCATTACTCCCTCAGCAACCACCAGTACAGCCAGAGAAGCCATGCCGGCCACACGCTGCGGCACGAAGACAGCAGGAGATCCACCCTCCTTATGCCCCCAAGATATGCACGCTCAGAAATTGTGGGTTTCACCTCCCGGCCGGTGAGCAGGCAGCGCTACTATGACACTTACCACAGACAGTTCCAGTATGGGTCTGTTAACGACACCGTGTTTGACAGTGCCCCTCCCAACCCAGTGGTGCTCACGTATCCCAGGCCTCGGACCAGTCACAGCCTGAGCAACCTCTTGGAGAAGGAGAACTACATGGCTTCAGGGCTTGCCCCTGGGCAGGGCAGGCTGCTGGTGCCTCTGCAGCCCATCACTCAGAACAGGAGCGCTCGGTCCTCCTGGCATCAGAGCTCCTTCCACAGCACCCGCACAGTGCGGGAAGCCGGGCCCAGTGTCACTGTAGATGCAGGCGGAAGGAGGACGCACATGACCGTTGGCCAGGTGGCAGCCGGAGGAGGTGGGACCATGCACAGTGAGAGAGCCACTTACAGCGACTCCCAACTCAGGTGAGTCCCCTTCTCGGTCTGCAGGGCACGCGGTGCCAGCACATTCTGTTTTCACAGCCCCTACTGCAAGAGCTGGCCCTTCTGTGGCTGCAGAGAAAGGGTTCCTGAGATTAGAGATTAAAATAACGACTTTTCAGGCAATTGCCTAATTGACATGTTAGCCTCCTCTTTACCTCAGGGACAGAGACCAGGCTACCTGCTCATATTGGCAGCTTTGCAGGGAAATGGGACAGTTAATCCATCTGTTGTTCCAAATTAGATGCTAGCTGCAGGGTGACTGCCTCGGCTGAATGAGGGCTGATGCCGAGGTAGACCAAGAAGTGGGATAATTGCATTCACTTTCTTGCAATTAAAAAGGGGGGGGGGGCGGGGGGAGAAAGGAGAAAGGCAAAAAGACCTGTTGCTGGTGCTGAGTGAACCTGAAAGGCTATTTTGATAACTACTACTATAAGAAAGAGTGAGAGCTAAGCAGAGGCAGTTCATTTTCAGATGTTGCTTTCTCTCCTTTTATACCCAATGCTTCTACTTTTTAATTCTAGTGTCAGTGAGTTGGGGGGTATTTTTTTTGGCAATACTGAAAAATTTTAAAAATTAGATACTCAAAGTCATTCCTTTGCCTGTCTTTCTTTTACTGTATGGCCTCACTAATCTAGTCTTTGGAACTTAACCCTTATTCAAGTTTAATGCTGGAGTACAAATTTTATAAACTGAGGAGAGAGTTACAAAGAGAAAGGTTGAGAAATGGATGATTCCATTGGCTGGATGATTAAGTCACAAATCCTGAAATCATGATGTATTATTATGGTAAAACATTGAATATATGATTTTTTGTTTGAATTCTAATGTTGCTTAATGGAAGTTGTTACCTTTCATTGTCACTTTAAGTGAAGCTATACAGTAGACTCCTTGACTGTGCAAGTACTGCTGTTAAGAGATGTTAGGGTTAGCCTAAACTTGAAGCAGGAGATATTTTTTAAAGGTTTTATTTATTTATTTTTACAGAGGGGAAGGGAGGGAGAAAGAGAGAGAGTGAAACAGTGTGTGGTTTCCTCTCTCATGCCTTCTATTGGGGACCTGGCCCTCAACCCAGGCATGTGCCCTGACTAGAAATCAAGCTGACAACCCTTGGGTTCACAGGCCAGTGCTCAGTCCACTGAGCCACACCAGCCAGGGCAGGAAATATTTTTTATAAAGCAAAATTGTGCATGAGACTTCAAACATTTCATATAGAAAGCAGATCTTTGTCAATATGGACTCACTTATAAAGAAGAAACATGAGTCAGGTAATTGTAGAAGGGAAATGCTGATCAAGGCTTTTAAATGGCTAATTCAAAATTTATGGAATGCCTATTCTAAGATTTGTGCTACACATGATTTTAACAAAATGATTTTAACAATAACAACGCTATCCTGCCACATCCTCCCACAACTGGCATTCTTCTCTTCCCTCATGGCTCGGGCCCACAGGCTCCGTAAACCAGCCCGCAGATTCCCAGCCTCTCATCAGCCCACTGCTATATTGTGTTAGTCCCCGCTGTTTGACCAGACCATTCTCCCCGCAACGTACCAAAGACTGCCTTTAAGCCACATCCAAAGCACACACACATATTCAGTCCTTAACAGTGCTCAGCCTCTGGGCAGCATTTAAGTCCACTGTCTGTGGAATTCTCTCTTCCCGTGGTTTCCCATTTGCCTCCCTAAGACCTTTCTTCTTAGTCTTCTCTGGAAAGACTTTCTGCATGCTCAATAAAGTCATCTTTGGTAATCCTTCTCTTCCAGGTCTTGCTGCTCTTCCGGAGAGGCCCTGTGTACTATACTTATCTCTTGTGATAATTCCCAAAGTTTTATCTTCAGCTCTGTCCTCTATTCTGAACTCTAGGCTTGTATATACCGGGGGGGGGGGGACTAGGTTTACAAGTGTGAGTATGTAAAACACAGAGTTTATTTTTGCATTTTATTTATTAATTACTGTATTATTTTCTATGCAAACAACTATAAACCTACTTTTGCTCCATCCTGTGTTTCCAATAACCTCTTGGACTTCCCAAAGTCAGTATATCCTAAACTAAATTTATCAGCTCCTCCAGGCATTCGACTCCTAACTGTCTCCTCATACTAAACCTGGAAGCCATTCTTATCTTCTCCCTCCCCAATTACATAACACCAGGTCATATTTTTATCTCCTTAATGCTCTGAAATTTTTACTTTTTTCTATCTTCATTGCATAGGTCTGTCTGCCTCTTGTCCCGCTCACTCAGAACCATTCTCTAGTAGTGTTAGAATGGGCTTCCCAAATCTGGTTATTGCTCTCTCCGTTTCATAACCTTTCCTTAATCCCTCCAAGTTTCCCTGCTTTTTAGCTTGGCACACAAGACCCGTGTTTCCCCCCTGCTTGTCCAGTGTCACCGTTCTACTCTTAATCTTCTCACGTCATCACCACCATCCCCAAACACACCACTTGGAACCTCTTTTATTTCCTGTAATGGAAGGTATTCATTCATGTATTTCCTTTCTTCCTCTCCATCCATCCATCCATCCATCCATCTGTCTGTCTGTCTATCATCATCTCTCTCCCCCCCAGTAGCTCTGGTTTTGCCTGGCTTAGCTTAGATACCACCTTTCCCTGACCACTGCCCTCTCAACCTGGTTTAGGTGCCCCAGTTATCTGCATTGTGTGGCTCTCTTTCCCAGAAAAGTATATGGTGGTTATTCATTTACTATCTTCTCTCCCTCTAGACTTTGAGCTTTCTGTGTGTCTTATCATCTTTATATTCTCAGCACCCCATGTAAATGTTTGGTGATAGAATGAAGGGATTAAAGAAGGAAGAAATGAAATATAAACTTTTTCCTTCTTAACATCTAGGTTCTTTTGTTACTCAAATTCTAGAAGAAGTATTAACCATACCACTTCAGGTTATTGCTTAAATGAATAGGGTAAATCTTATTAGAATAATTGTATTTAAAAAAAAGAAGGAACACTTGGGGTCAAGAAATTTAAAATGAAAGGCAAGAAATCTATTCTTGATGATTCCTAAAGTGGCCATTCTGGAGATTAGAAATCATAGAAATGAACTCTCTTTGAAAATTTTGCTCTCTGTGGAAAGGAGAGTCAGAGGCATTTCCTATAATGAGGAGAATAAACGATCCAGGTGGCATCTGTGCCTGACTCTGCTCCTTGCTTTGCTGTGGCTCGTGTCAGCGTCTCAGACTGTCCCCTGAGAGTCCTGCTCCTGAGGCTGCTCTCCTTGGCCTTGTCTCACATTTCACGTCTACCCAGCCCCTACTTTTAGAATCTACTGTTTTATGTTTAATGAAAGTCCCACCTGTAAAGAACTGTTCTCTCACGTTTGTGGAACACTCCTATAGAGTAGCTAGATAAACTATAAGCCTGCGTAATGACATAAGGTATTAAACAATGGATCTTTCTTTCCAAAAAAAGAATGGCTGCTCAGACAGTTACTAATGCAGCTGAGAGCCAAGCCATGAAAGTAAAAGAGAGGCAGACAGTCAAAGCCTATTCTAAATCCTACTGAAGGAGAAGGTTCAAGAAATCACCAAGTAGAAACTTCTAGATCAGTTTTTCTGAAAGTGTGATTTCTGCACCTATGGGGGACTGGTGGTTCAGTCAGTGAATATCGGTTCCTCGGGATACGCAGCACTGCAGTAAGAACTATAAGAGAAAAATTGAGAGGGGTAGATGAAGGTCTAGCGAGGATCAGTGAAAAGGAAAGTAAGATGCATCATCAAGTGCTGCGCTGTGTGGTACGTACTAGTGTCCACAGCAATTCAGAGACCAGAAGAACAGTGTGCTAAGGAGATGAAGGAGAGAGGCTGGGTCTCTAGGCAAGGTCTAGACCAGGCAGGTCTGTGACATAGAGCATAAAAGATGTCATACTAACTTCCCTCCACATCCTCCTATTTACCGACTTCTTTAAAGCCTCTTTCAACTATTTTCATTTTCAACAGCCCAGTTCAAGGCTTCATTGCTTCCACTAAGACTCTTGTGGTGCCCTCAAGACTGTCTCTAGAAACATATATCTACTCCAAAGTCATCTTTCAAATGGTGCTTTTATCACACTTTTTTAAATTTAATCTTTATTGTACTTTTTCCATTACCTTTTCGTCGTCCCCTTACACTCCACACATCACACCTAAAATCATCCTGAGGCAGGGGGATCTGCACTTCCTCAGACTCTGTGACCACATGCAGGAGATTTCCATTCATCACTTAGTGTTCGTTGGCCTTGGAGGCGTAGCCCTGTTCTAGCATCTGGGAACCAGCCTGTAGCAGGGCCGTGCTGTTACTGACAGGATTGCTGATTGCTGAGGGATTCCACATAAAAAAATACAGGTTGTTATTTATTGCTAAATATTAGCTCATATTCTGACCAACGATATTTTATACTGCCCCCCTCCCTACATTTTTCATTTACATTGACATTGTTTTAACATATTAACTAATAATGTGTTGAAAAGACTCAGTTCTAGAGAGCATGCTCCAGGGATAATGGGGTCCAGTAACAACTGCTCTTCTGATCTCCCTGCCCTGCCCCCAACCCCATTTCCAAGCCACATTTTTGCAGACTTTGGGAAGTGCTTGATGATGAATGAGCAGGAGGGGAGAAGGAAAGGGGGAAAGAAGGAAGGAGGACAAAAGAGAAAAAGAAGGAGATGCAGGGGTGGAGTGCTGTAGGAGAACAGAGAAGGAAAGGCATAGCTCTAGCTGGGAATAGGGCACAAGACCGATTTCACAAAAGTGAGGACATTTGAAGTGAGTCTTGATGAATAGACAAGAATTAAGTAGAAGCATGGACTTTCTTTTTTTAAAGATTTTATTTATTTATTTTTAGAGAGGGAAGGGAGGGAGAAAGAAAGAGAAACATCAATGTGCGGTTGCTGGGGGTCATGACCTGCAACCCAGGCATGTACCCTGACTGGGAATCAAACCTGCGACACTTTGGTTTGCAGCCTGTGCTCAATCCACTGAGCTACACCAGCCAGGGCAACATGGACTTTCTAGAAAAATCAGAGAAGTTTGTAAAGAGGCATGCAGTGTTTAGAAAAGGATTGAAAGTGTGGCGTGGCCCTGGCTGGTGTAGCTCAGTAGATTGAGTGAGGGTCTGTCAACCAAAGGGTCGCCAGTTCAATTCCCAATCAGAGCACACGCCTGGGTTGTGGGTCAGGTCCCTAGTAGGGGGTGCATGAGGGAACCGCACATTGATGCTTCTCTCCCTCTCTCCATCACTTCCCCTCTCTCTAAAAATAAATTTAAAAATTTAAAAAAGAAAAGAAAGTGTGGTGTGTGGTGTGGTTGGAAGATAGAGTGGCCCATCACAGGAAGGGAAAGAGAAGGGACTGAGGATGGCAGGATTGGGGCCAGAGTCAGGTCAGAACATTGACGTGTTTTAGACTTGGGCATCACAGACACTCACAAATCCAGAAACTGATGTCCTCACAGCTCTAGCAAACCTTCCACTGAGGAAGTCTGTTCAGTGTGGGAACTATCCTTAATAATAAAGTACAATGGCATTGGATTGGCTAGGAGTGAATGCAGAGCTTCTTTGTGAATCATGTGCAGGAAAATAAAGGATTCGAGTAATGGATTTATTTTGGGAAATTCAAACTCTTCTGAGTCATTTATGACTTACAAAGTGGATTAATGGCTGAATCTTTTTTTTAAAAGCTGCATTAAACAGAAGGGTATTCTTATGCTATGAGTGATCTTTCATCAGTAAACACACCTGTACTGATAGATGCTAAAGACCTAAAACTGCCGTTGTGATTGAGATTGGTAGAGTTCCGATTTCTCTCCAAAGACATTGGAGTCTATGCATGTCAATTATTTTCATCTCCTTTAAAAAGTATTTATATTTTTAAAAAATGACTCAAATCCTGACTTGAATGGTAATAACCTACATTTTTTACCAATTAAACTGACTCCTGAGGCACAATTTAAAATATGAGATCATTACATAATTCCCAGTGTGGATGCCAGATGTGTTTCTGCTGCCTCATTTTTAATACCCTTACACTCATGAGGTAACACTTCTGTGTTTGAACATGTGTTTCAGAGGCAGTGAGTATTAGTTTTTAGTCTGAGACTCATTTACCTCCTCACCTGTGCCACATCCACCCGTGTACAAACACCATTCACAACACAACCCACACTCACGTCAGAACACGTGTGTATGTACTGTGGGTTAGCCCGACACAAGAGGATTTACTCACTGTGCTTGCTAGCAGATGCTGGAAAACACCCTCCCACGATGTCTTTGGAGTTTATTACCTGGAATGAATCAGGCTACCGTCTTTGAAGCCAAAGCGGGGTCCTACCTTTAAAGCACATCTTGGGCCCCAATTCTAAGATGTTAGCGTCCTGAGTAATTTCTCTGAGGCAATGCTTAGGGAAGCCAAACCACACTGATACAGACTGCGTAATCTAGTCACCCTCCAGGCAGAAATAAAAGGGGAGAAAACAGTGTAGTTCTATGAGGCATTTGGGAGTTACCGGTTTTTATTTTACAAGTAGCAGTTTTAATTGTCCTCTATAAATACCCTCCCTGTGTCAAACAGCACCAGATTTCATCACGACTATAAATACTTGGAATTCGGAAAGGACAAACATATGCTATTAGCTAGACATAAATTCAATGTCATTACGATAGCAAAGCAAATGGTAACAGAATGTGTATAAAATTGTTTTTTTTTAAGAAAAAGCATGTTTATAATTGCATTCAATCATTACCTTTCCTCATGGATTTTGTCACACCAGCATGACTTATTTTAACAAAATGAACTGAGTTTTCCTGGCTTTTACTGTTTATATACTGTTACTTTCATTAAATAAGAACATTTTTAGAATGAATTTTTAAAAACTCATTTTCAGGTAAAATAACACATTCAGAGCAGCTCTGAGAAAAATGTAATCATTTTTGAGGAAAAGTGTTCCCTCTACAGGTCTGACATTGCCAGGGTAGCAATAATTTTTAATTTCTGTGACCAGATTTCTTTTAAATTTCACCTGAAGTCTTACTGTGCCTTTAAAGTCACCTTTTAAGGTGTGACTATCATACTACCCATATTTATCTGAAACAGAGTTCAGTTTCTTTGGTTATGAGGTCTGTCCAGAAGGTATCCAGCCATGTAATATGAAAAATGGAGACATTTATTGAAGAAGATACAAGATATAAGAAATACTGTACATGCTTAGTCCCCTTCAAAGTAGGCACCTTGGGACCTTACATAGTTCTCCCTTTCACCATCAGCTGCCCTGTCATATTTTCCTGAATCTCATTGACGTTCTGAAATCTCTGAGCCCTTTCAAAAGTGATTTTAGTTTTGGGAAAAGCCAGAAGTCACAGGGCACCAAATCTGGGCTGTAGGTGGGCTGAGTCACCTGGGTGATTTGATGTTTCACCAAAAACTGCACAAGACATGATGTCCGAGCGGGCACATTGTGATGATAAAGCTGCCAATCACCAGTTGCCCATAGCTGAATCATCCAAATAGTTTCCTTGGAGGAATGTTCAAACTTAACGTAAAATTTGATGCAGATCCATTGCTCTACCTGCTTAGTCATTTTGAATGCAATGTATGTAAAATTGTACACATGCTCACTCAACAGTGTCTACCACCCCCACTGACTGGTACAGTGAAGTCGTCATTGTTCGTGCATGTGCATTCCAGGCCACTCTCTTTGTCTGCCAGGTTACATCAATGTCACACAAGCCTTTCTCTTTATATGAACAATGGATGAATTTTTTCTGGACAGACCTCGTTTATTATGAATCTGCTCAATTCAGTGATGATTTTCTGAGGCTAGTCTGACCAGAACTGAAGTATTTCTGCTACTAGCTTCCTATACTTTCTGATCTCAGGTACTGATTTTTCTTTTAGCTGAAGGAGGCAAGACTGATGTTCCAGGCGATTTCCAGTATTAGCTGAGTCATCTCCGGAGGGTCGGGCTGATAGGTGGGAGAGAGCAGGTTTGGAATTTTGCTGACTCTGTGACTATTTGTCTAGGAATGCAGACATGGAGATGACTCTGGAGCGGGCAGTGAGCATGCTTGATGCAGACCACACACCACCTGCCAGGATTTCTGTGGCAGCCACCTTCATACAGCACGAGTGCTTCCAGAAATCTGAAGCGCGGAAAAGGGTGAGTATCATCTTAAGTCCATTGCAGAACTAGCTCTGTCTGTTATGGCAACCCTGCAAACCGAAACCAGCGACATACTTAAATTTTTAAACATGGCCATTGAGTTATATGTCGATTATACATTGATGCCCAACCAACTGAGCCACACCAGTCAGGATAAGAGTTTTTCATTTAAAGGAAAACATATATGTTATGAAAAATGTTCCCTCAACTCATAAACTTAAAGTTACTACACAGACCTCTTCCTTCTTTGTCTGTCTCCCAGATTCCCCCTTTAAAACCATCCCCAGAGGCAACTGTTGACAGTCCGTGTGCTTTCAGATTTTTCTGAGAGAGGGTAGGGAGGTGGCATGAGTGTGTACTGTATTATATTAAATATAAGGAAATTTTTCCAATTTTTGTCATTTATATATATAATCAACTTTTCCATTTATCATATATAATCAACTTTGTACATGTGTCTTTGGGCACTTCCACAAGTGTTCCTAATGGCCAGAGCCCTAAAAAAGGATCAGTAGGTAATGTTACTGCATGTTTGTTTTAAAAAGTAGTACATCTGTGGCGGGGGGCGGATCATAGTTCAGAATGGTCTGCAGTAGAAAGAGAGCTCCTCTCCTACTGCAAGCCCCAGCTTATCCCCCATTTTCCTCTCTCTGTCTCACTCTCCACTTCTGTCTCCTCCCTTCTTCCTTCTCTCTTTCAGTCTCTCTCTCATCAGTTTCTGGGTGTATTCCCAGAGATATTCTATGCTTGTAGAAACAATTACTGGATGGGTTGGTCGAGTATCCTTTTTTGTTTGAAACAAAATCATAAGTGGTAGCAGATTATTTACAGTACGCTATACTTTGCCTTCATTTAGTATCTTGGAAATCTTCAATATGTATTAGCCTTCCTTTGTTTTTCAAAACTGCTACATTGATTTATGTTGTATAAATGTGCCAGTTTTGTGTGTTCATTTTTTAAATGCCTTTCGTAAGGTACCATGTGACAGAGTTTTGACGTGTTTTGGCACTGTGAAAAAACCATCACAGTCAAGACACTGAGCATGTCCATGACCGCCACAGTTTCCTCGTGCCCGTTTGTAGTCCTTACAACCACCTGTCCCCCAACTACTCTTAGACCCTAGGCGACCTTAGCTCTGTTTTTCTGTTACTATTGATAATATCAAAATTTCTAGAATTTCTCTAAATCAATTTTTTAAAAATTGTGCGTATGTGCAATTTTTCAGGCACCATTTGTTGACTTTCCTTTTGGTACTGAATTGTTTCCATGCTTTTGTTGAAAAGGAATTGATCGGTGTGTGAATCTATTTGTGGACTATGTATTCTATTCAATTGATTTGTTTATCTATATTTGTAGATACCAAAACCACAGTTTGGATTATTCTGGTTTTATATTAAGTCTTGAAATTAGGTTATGTTAGTCCTCTTTGCTTTTTTTCTTCGAGTTATTTTGGCTAGACTAGGTCTTTTGCAGTACATTTGAATTTTAAAATCAGCTTGTCAATTTCTACATTTATAAAACTTCTGGGATTTTTTTTTGAGATTACATTGAATCTATAGATCAGTATATGGAGAATTGGCGTGTGAACCATATTGAGTCTTCTGACTCCTGAACAAAGTATATTTCACAATTTATTTAGGTCTCTGATTTCTCCTGGCATTTTTTTGTAGTTTTTACTCTAGAGGTCTTCAATGTTTTTTGTCAGATTTATCCTTAAAGATGTCATATTTCTACATACCTTTACAGATGGTCAGTATTTACTTCAATTTTTGATTATTCAATGCTAGTATACAGAAATACAGTTCAATCAATAAAGGTGATTTATATGCTGCCGTACTACCAATTCACTTCTTAGCTCTGTATCGTATTTGTAGATTTATCAGATTTTCTGCATAGAAGATCATGCCATCTATGAATAAAGTCAGATTTGTTTCTTCCTTTACAACCTGAATGAATGACTTATATATTTTTTTTCTTTTTGTACTGGCTAGAACCACCAGCACGTTGTTAAAGAGAAGCGAGAGTGGATGTGTTGTTCTTTGAAGCCTTCAGTCTTTCGCTACTAACTGTTGTGATCCCTGTGGGTTTATTTTTATTTTGGAGATATTTCATCTAGGGAATATTTGTGCGGGGGGGGTTCTAACTGACAAAGGGTTTTATTACTACACAGTTGCCCCAGTTAAAAAGATACAGCCATGCTTTTTTGCCCCCTCCCCATCCTTCACCCAGCATTGCTGAAGCAGCACTTGCACAACTCAGCGCTCCTGCTGTCAGCTCCGCTGTCCTCTCCTTCCAGCCGCCAGCCTTCGTGGTCCTCCGCCAGGACCTCATCCACATGATGAGATGTTCTCTGATATCTACAAGATCCTGGAGATGTGGACGGGCTGTGCATAGAGGTAGAGGGGCAGATGGTCAGTAAGAGAGAGGATAATATGGATGACTTGCTTATTGGTGGAATTGTCTCTGCTAAAGTCCCCAAGGCCCAAGGGCAGGGTACCCGAAAGCTTCACAAAAGAAGCCTACAGGAGGTCCATCAAAGATTACAGAAAATCAATCAAATGGAAACTTGAAAAACAGACCAGGAAGAGTAAAGTTCTTATAACAGGGGCTTTGAAACAAATCTAGCACTAATTTCAACATCTACCAGTTCTCTAGTGGTGAAAACATGCATCCAGATGGCACAGCTGCTCTGCTGGCCTGCCATGAGAACCGTGCAACCCCATGGATGATTCTGTTTAAGGGTGGCTTAGAAATGGGAAAATGTTAACAAGTTTGGCAATTTGGATGTATCACCTGTCATCCTAACTGACTGCCTCTTTTTTAAAAAAAATTCTCACTTGAGCTTATGTTTATTGACTTGAGAGAGAGAGACACATGTGAATGTGAAAGACAGACATCCAGCGGTTGCCTCCAGTGTTCTCCCCACTCAGACCTAGGTGTGTGTCCTGACCAGGATTGAACCTGTAACCTTTGGTGCATGGGACAGTGCTCTAACCCACTGAACCACCTGGCCTGGGCTGGCTGCTGCTTTTCACCCAACACCAGAACAAATGGGACTGATATTATCTTGAGCTCTTCATTTATTTTGACCTTGATTTATTTGGACTAGAGGCATTGTTTCTAAGGAAAAACCTGTCATGTAGGTTGTCTAAAAATAAAATGCATTTAAGTAGAAAAAAAAAGGTCCACCCGTATCACTAAGCTGAAATCATTAAATATTTCTAAGGCCATTTCTTTAAAACAGAGTTTGGAAAAATCAATTCTATCAGGAAATTTTATAAAGAAATCTTTCCCTTAGATTTTGCTAGGTTCTGAGACATCTTTTTTTTTTTATAAATTTGGCTTTAATACCAAGCTTAAAAAAGCACTTTTTTCCCCCAAGATGACAGTATGATTGACATGTAGTATATGCCTTTTTTAGTGTACAGTTTTCTGTCAGACAAATACACAGTCATGTAACCACCACTACAGTCAAGATAAAAACTATTCCATTACCCCCCAAAGTTCTTTATGTCCCTTTGCAGTCAAATCCTTCCCCCATCTCCAGCCCCTGACATGATCTTCTGCCTACTCATTCCAAAATGTCAGATAAATGGAGTCATGTAATACATAGCCCTTTGAGTCTGTCTTCTCACACTTGGCATACATATTGGAGTTTCATCCATGTTGTGTGCATGAGTAGTCCATTCCCAATTTGTTTTTCCGAGTAGGATTCCATCCTATGGATGGCTGTACCACAGTTTGTTTATCCTGCCAGCAGCTGAAGGACATTTGTTTCCAGCTTTTGATAACTATGAACTAAGCCTCTGTAAACATTCATAAATAGGTATTTGTGTGAATAAAAGTTATCATGGGTTAATACCTAGGAGCACAATTGCTGGGTCGTAAAATAGGTATATGTATAACTTTATAAAAAACTGCCAGTTTTCCGAGGACTTCTGGTCAAATGGAGGCATAGGGAGACATGCTTCACCTCCTCAAGCTACCACAGAGAGAATTACAACTATATCTCAAAACAGATAACACCCATAACCATCAGAAAACTGAGCTGTGTGTAAGTCTAAAACCAAGGATTTAAAGAAACCACATTCATCCAGATAGGGGTAGGAGGGGCGGAGCCGTGGAGATGGGCTGGGTGGCTCAGAGACACACCAGAGAAGCGGTGGGAAACAGGTGGTCCCACACTGACATGTGGTGGATAAAAATCAGGAGGGATACCTTGGGGACCAGCGATCCCAGGCCAGACTGCATAGACCAGGGTTCTAGTACTAGAAAGTTAAATCCCCATAACTTCTGGCTGTAAAAACCAGTGGGGGTTGGGACAGTGGAAAAAACTAACAGATTTTCAGGAGAGTCCATTTAAAGGGCCTTCACAGACTTAGAACGTTCGCAGACACACTCACTGTGGGATTCACCACCAGGGCAACAGGAGGAAGGACACCAGTCACATATGGGGAGTGGGTGAAGTGACTACAGTTGGGCCAACTGCTGGACGCACCACCAGAAGCCAGGCAGTGGCATTGCCCCCTCTCCAAGTCCTCCCTTCATACAGAGCCACAAAGCAGTGAAGCAGCTTGCCCCACCCTGGCAATTACCTAAGTTTCCACCCCACACAAATTACGGGTGCTTTTTCAGAGACGGGAGTCAAAGCACCTCTACTTCATACAGAAACAAACACAAGGAGGCTGCCAAGTTGAGGAGACAAATATGACTCAAATGAAAGAACAGAACAAAACCCTAGAAAGGTAACTAAATGAAATGGAGACAACCAACCTATCAGATGCAGGGTTTTAGTACATCGGTAATCAGGATGGTCAAAGAACTGATTGAGTATGGCAGAAACATAAGGGAAGAAATGAAGGTTACGCTAAGTGAAATAAAAATCAACAGGGAACCAACAGTGGAGAGTATGAACTTGAGAATCAAATCAATGATTTGGAACACAAGGAAGGAAAAGGCATTCAATAAGAACAGCAGAAAGAAAAAAGAATTGAAAA